ATTTTTTTAATGAATTATGAAGCTTTAAGATAGTATGCTGAGATTTGTGGAAAATTGTTTAATGTAGATTTAATTTGGTCATCTTAAGTCCATTACTATCTAAACTTTTTTTTTTTTTTTTTTTGTATATTTTGGTATATTGTGGCTTTTCTGTTTTTGGTATCTAAATGCAGCTGTAACTTATTATTTTGCTTTACGCCAATCTCTTATTTCTCTAATTTTTAATGAATTCCTTCACATTATCTAAAATTTGGTTACACGTACAATCAGCCATAAATTTAAATGAGATATTCATCATAATTCTTTAATTTTCTTTTATATACATTTGATTATCATCAATTAAAGAATTAATTTCTGGATGTGGGAATTTCCTTAATGGTAATTCTGAATATGGTCAGGAGGTAATTCTTACATATTAGGCTAAAATAACTGTACATATTTGACAATTAGAAATTAAAAATAATATGTGTAAGAAATTATATATGTTGTGTTTAATTTCTAATAGACAGCTTATCCTGAAATTTTAGTCTAATATGTATTAAAATTTGAGCAATTATTTCATTTATAATATCAAAAATTTCTTTTCTAATTTCAAAAATCGAAAAATATCTTTTTCAATAAATTGTGAAATTTCTGAATTTATTTCCAAAATTTCTTTCAGTTTAAATAAAATGAAAAATCAGTAGAAATTTTCAAATAATGAACTTCAAGTTTTGATTATCTGAGTAATCAAAATGGGGAGGAATGAAATGTTTGTTTCCTCATATTTTACATAAGTGCAGTGTGAAATATTTGATACTAAATTCTAGGATGATCCTGTATTTGTGAAATGTTGCTTAATTGCAAAATGCTCAGTGTGCTTAGACCATGAAAGGGCTTTAATATTTGCTGCTTTAAATGTTATTCTTTAAGAAATGAAACCCAAATCATCTTACTCACCGATTAAGCTAAAGGTAAGAACATGGCAGTTTTTCATGTTGGCAAGTCATCAATTACTACTAGCATTTTGCTTAAATTGCCACTATCTTAGCCTAGTATGCATGACTTGAAAATAGAATGCTGAGCATAATGGCTGCAATAAAAAAAAGTGCAATCTTTATAGAAGTAATTTTAAAAAAAATCATTGAATGCTTTCACTTTTGCTTAAACACTATGCAGTTTTACTGTTTCACTTTCAAAAGAATTTTAATTTCTGTCTGACACATCAGAAATTTGATATAATTTAATTTGTTTTGTATAATTGCATTTGCATCGTGTATTGTAATTTCAATTCTTTTGCATTGATATTTCTAGAAAAATGTGAACTAATTATAATTGTAGTCCATGAATGACATTCCTCTTTAGAAACACGCATAAACAGCAAAATAATTTAGGTAAAGCAATTAATGATTTTAATTTCATAAATCTACTAATAGTATTGAGACAATATTTAATTTATGCCACTTCCTATATTATTTTAAATTCCATTAATCAAATAAATAATTTAAAATACATTATTTTTATGTCATTATTGTAATATCACTTCTCTCTGGTGAATATTTTTATATATAAGGTGCAGCCGACGAAATTATACACTGTGCAGTTTCCCCCCCCCTATATAACAGCTGTATTTAAAAATGAAAATTTCTCAGGTGGAGAGAACTTACTAATGCAGAGTTCTGGATGATTTCATGTTCAAAGTGCTATTTTTAATTCTGAAACTTAAAGGAATTTATTTAAAAATCAATAAAGATTTTATTTTTCATTAATTTTTTAGAAATCAAGAGTTTATTCCCATCATTGAAGAAAGAAATCAGAAGTCAATTTCAGCCTCAAAAAATCTCACTGAAAAGTGAGAACTGAAAGCTACAGTTATATATAATTCTATAAATGTCTTCTACAAAAATAAAGCACTTTTGTAATGCTTTTCTTTACCTAGGAAACTCCAAATTTTAAAATATTAGGAAATTTCTTTTGTGACAGGTATTTAATGAGAAATTTTAAAGGTTTAAGGGATTTTAAAAAAGAATCTCCTATAACTGTTTCTCTGAGCGAACTCTACCGGGGGTGCATATTTTTTCCTTTGCCTAATGTTGTTATATAATATTCTCAATAGCTATATAATTAGTAATCTGTTAGGAGTCAAGAAATATAAATTTAAAACAATTTTGTTGCATGCAAAAGCAGATGATTTTAAGTCATTTTAAAAATGCATAGTTTTTTTAACAAAGCAAAGTATAAGAACTCTATTTTCAAATGCTGTTCTTATTTTGACACATGTTCAAATATGCTATGTACATGAAAACTGTACCTTGAGATTATCCTTATCAATATTATCCTGCTATATGTAGCTTGTGTATGTTATTCTAGGAGCTAAGGATAGCAAGTTGCAGATAGGAGTTCTGCATTTATTACAACTGATGAAAAGGCTTTTTATTGTTAGACATTGAGATTTCATTTGGATAAATACAACAATATATTACTGAATGTGACATGCATTTTTGTAATTAAAGTGCACAAAGTTTTGCCCCCAGCTTAAATGATCACTTTCTTGTTCATAGAAAAATAATGTAAAACAAAATCAATGTACAATTACTAATTTACTGTGTATAGATATATATCCTTTACACAGTTATCCAGCGCATAAGTTACAAAAATTTTAAAAGGTTAATTTTACAGTTTATCTCTATAGTGATTATTGCACTTGCATTTTATTAATTGACGAGCCCCAGACAAATGGATACTACATTGTGTATCGCAGGTATTATAATGACTGCAGTTCTTAAATACTAGTTGTGCTAATTTTTCTGATATACTGTATAGATCTAACATACACCATGAGTAAAATCTTCACAAAGCTGTAGAAATAGTAACTATACCCGTTTTTAGATGTGGTAAAAATAATTATTGATTCTAATTATTATTATAACCCTCCAAAGTAGTATTCTAAATGTTGCTTACAAGTTTGACTATTGCAAATATGATCAAAATAGACCTAGATTTATTTCTTATTCTTTCAAATTCACTGGTAGTTTAATCCTCGAATGTCTTCTGTTTCCATGTGCAAGAATAATGTATCGTGTTTTTATTATACGGTAGATCATGTTTCTTCATAGATAGTTTATGTTCATCGTAATAAATAGAAAACAGATATGCAATAGGAGTGACATTTGCCACGTCTATTTCACATTTACCAGTTTATTAAAAATTCATCGCTATATGAAGTCATTCATTCTACCTAGTGTTTAGTATTCTCTTGAAAATTGATGGGACTTAAATTTCACATGTTTGATTACTTATATCTTATTCATAGCCCACGTATATGCAGAATTTTTAGTCGAAGAAAAGAAGAAGCAAACATGCCGACAACATTTGATTTTTTATACAATAATAATAATATAAATAAATTCGCGGGGATACTTGTTTTCTTTTTTTTAACGAATTATGTTCTTATCTCAGTTAAGCTTAAAAGAAAAATGCAAAATGCATTAATGTACCTCTGTCCCTTTCAAAATTTGAATCTTTTGTGTGATTAAATTAAGCGGTTTTAGAGTATGTTAATTTATTGAAGTTAAATTTTGAAAAAAAATATAAAACAAAAATAGCTAAAATGTGTTCAAAATTAATCTTTGTATAAAATTAAACATATAATTTCCATACAATATAGCATTAATTTATAACTATAAAAAATTGTTAGAAAATGGATCCAAATTAAAAGTCAATTTTATTTTTATTTATTTATTTTAATTAGCTATATGAGAACTTGAGCCCAATTCATTTTGATTCATTTGAACTGAAACTGAATCTAATAGTTGGCTATTTTTGTCCTTGATTATAAATTAAGGTGAAAGAGGCAATGCATTTTGCATAATAAATTTGATTCTTAAATTAAGCATAAATGTTAATTTTGTTTTTATATTAATCAATTATGAGAACTTTTGCAGAACTTAAATGTAAAATTTATTTAGCCATTAAAACTTAATATATTTGTTATACATAACTCTAGTGGCATATTACATTTTTTTATACGAAAACATTGTATATTACTCGATTTAGATAATGTTCCAGTTTAGTGCGACTTTTACTGTGCATCATACATGTGTTTTGCTGTAAAGTTGTATATATATTCATATGCATTGTGTTTTAAGTTGTATTTGTTGTAATTTCTGTTATCTGTTAAATTTCTATGAAAATTAAGGATTATAACTTTTTTCTTTATTTATTTTATTTATTTTGTTTATTGTGTTTCATATTTTGCACCTATTGCATTTATAGCATATGTTTTAGTACAAGTATTACTGAATTGTATATGTTTTTATGTAATGCTTTGATGAAATTTATTCATCTGCATCTTTCACTTAGCATCTGATAATTGAAATTCCCTTAAAACCAAATGTAGAAAAGATTTCTTAGTTAACTTTGTTCTATTTCATTTATTGGTTTATTTAATTCAGTCATTTTTGTAACTGAAAAGTATATGAAACTTTCAAATAATTATTCATTTAATCCTGAATTAACTAATTTAAGACTGAACTTTATTAACTGTAATGTAATCCTATTAATACTAAAATCCTATAAATATTAATAAATTTAATAGTGTTTAACTATCTTAATGTATCTTTTTAAAAAAAAAAAACTAATTCACTAAGTGCCCTTTTAGTACAACCTTGACATGTTGTAAGCACTTGAAACTTTAAATGTGAGCATTCTGAACACTATCGTGGACACTGATAAAACACTGAAAAAAAATGTAAGTTTTAGATTGCATGTAATATTTATTTGCATATCAGAAACGTGATTCTTTATATGTTTGGCATTTGCTTTTGCATGTGAGATTGGTGCATCCTTATATACTTCATTATCACCTTTTAGTTTCTATTTCTTTCTGGTAACTTTAAACTTTCAGATTTTATTTCATGATGTACTGCCATGTTGTTATTTCGCAAAAAAAATATATGATTTGGGATTCATGAATTCTCCATGTTTTCAATATTTCTGTATAGAACATTTTTGCAACACAGATCAGCTTCTTCAATGTCGGGTTTCTGAGATTGTTCCGTGCTGCTCGTTTAATAAAGCTGCTGCGACAAGGATATGCCATCAGAATTTTACTTTGGACATTTATACAATCTTTTAAGGTTTGTTTATCATTACTGCATCTGTTTATTATTAAGATAATACAGTTTCTTATACTTTTTTAAATTTTTCATCTGTTAATTAATAATTCTTCTTCTTTATTGCATGTACCTAAATGCCTTCTGTAAAACAAATTTAAAATTACTACTTTAATTTACTTTATTTTATATCTTTAATCATTAAATGCTTAAGCCACCAAAATTAAAACACTAATTATATTAATATTTTACAGAACATATATATAAGACACTGTAATAATATCAGAATAATACGAAGAAAAAAATTTAATTGAAATGCAGCAAAAAATATGTATAATTTAATAGGCCGTACAAGGAAGTCATGTGGTGTCCGCATCAGTCTTTTCCTTTTTTTCCTTCATTTTACTTTTTAAAAAATGAGAGAAATTATATTGTTACTCAACAGAGCATGTTTAAATTAATTCAATACAGTAACTATAACTTGGATTTATTTATTTTTTCAAATCTGAATTTGAATGACCTTATCAAATTGCTGTGCAAAAACAAAGATTTTAGAACCTTGGAAAATTATTTAACAATCAAAATGAAATAATTAATAAACATTAAATGTTGATTGCATGAAACAATCTTGATAATTTTTCCTTTGTGATTTTCTAATTTTTGCATATCTCTTTTTTTTTTTTTTTTTTTTTTTTTTTTTTTTTTTTGTGTGTGTGTGTGTGTGTGTGTGTGTGTGTGTCTGTAATTATACTGACAATAAATCTTTTTAACTGAGTGATCTTAATTCCTTACTATCTATTTTTTTTTCATAATTCCAGTTTATATTTTTGCTAAACATTTGTAACTGTTCCAGTCTTTAATTCTGGGGTAGTTGATAGTATTAAGAAACACATTTTGATAAAATCTATTTTAAGCTCATTTTATCATGCCACAGGTTTACTATCTCAAGTATTTATAAAATCCTCTCTGGATACCACAGTGAATCCTCTCATGGATACCACCTTTGATCGATATTTCTGAGAACATAAATAAATACCCACTCAATGCTTTTAATGCTATTTTCATCATCATCATCAAAGCAATTCCTAATTCAAAAAAAGTATTATATGCATATTCAAGTGATCACCAAATATCACAATTGTGCTATCAAATTTAAATATATTCTACACTTAGTAAGACTAGGAGTTATGTTTCTGATTTTTACCATAACAACAGTATTATATTTTTTATGGAAACCAATAATTAATCATTTCTAAATCTTTGGTTTTAGCACTTCTTAGCAGGATGCAATTTATCATAGGTTCTATATAAAATCAGTGCATGTATGCAAATGGTTTTATTTCTTTAATCTTATGTGGTTAACCTTATATTACAATTTTTTAATGGCCTTAGATCTAAAAAACAACAGGATTAAAAATTAATGAAGATGCTACAGATAGTCTTTTGCAAAGGAAGTTGGTAGGAAAATGATTGATTTCATAAAGTTTAAATTACTTTGGGCAAAGAAATTGATCAGAAGGTAAAATCATATAGGCAGACTTCATTGGAATGAATATTTTTATGAGCAGTGAGTATTTTTGAAATTACATAACAAAACTTGCAAGGAATTTTCATCCCTGTTTGCGTGTCGTGGTAATGTAATTTGAAATGAATCTGAGTAGCAATCGGAAGTTCCGGAGTGTGAATCGTAGCGAGGGTACTGTTAATTTTTCATCTTTCTTGCTCCAAAATGAACTTATTTACTTTACAAATGCCCCCCAACTAAAAAACAGTGTGAGGGACGATAATTCATCACCTCTAAGATTTGGCAGATGGGTCCTTTCTTCTCACTTTGTTGCCCATTAAATGATGAAGAGTATAAAGAATTTTCTCCCTCCTTATTGTGTGCCTTTAGTAATTAGAAGAATGTCTGGCCAGCAGTCAAAAGATCCAGAGTTCAAATCCTCACGAGGGCTTTTCTCATTTTTCATGTTTCCTACTTCAACATAGTCCCAATGACAAGTTTTTAATACGATTTTGCTTTAGACATCTGATGTTTTTACCATATTATTCACTTAATATATTTAAAAATTAGTTTGAAATCATTTTTCTCTGCATTTTTTTTTTTTTTTTCTATATGCTTTAATATTTATCTTTATAATTAATTTTTAATTTTATTGAGATAATGATCACGATAAACTAATGTACTGTACTTTTCCTTTAATATTTTAAATAGAATTCAAGAGCCTTAAGTAAGGTAAAATGTATTATATAGGTGATTATCTTGGAGAGAATTCACTGTATCTAGAATTAGAATTGATTATATTCAGGGTTATAACTTCTTACCTTTCAAAACAGTTAGTTTGTTTTATAGATGAAAATATATCTACTAGTGTAGTGTTCATGACCTAAAGTCTTGTATTAATTAGTTACTTCCAATAAGTTTATTTCTAAACATTCAGTTATTAAAAGCTTCAGCTTTATGTTACTCTTTGTGCTGTATAAAAATGATTATTGTTCTTACTCAAACTTTTCTTCTTTTTTTTTTTTTTTTTTTTTTCAACAATAGGCTCTTCCATATGTCTGTTTGCTTATTGCAATGTTGTTCTTCATCTATGCAATTATTGGGATGCAAGTATGTTATTTTAAGATATGTCATTATATTTTAAGCATAAAATTCTTTTGTTTTGTTAAATATCAAATGTGAATCATCTGCTGTCGTATTTTGTTTGTTCTTATGTATTTTAAAAGTTATAAAAATTAATAGAATCTTAATAAGTTAAATATTCTTTGAACGATATGAAATCTATGTGCATTAGTACTTCTTTTAATTATTTAAAAAATTGTATGCATTTCACTGACCATTTATTTCCAAAGGAGACTTTTTATATTTTTCTTTATAAATTAAAATTTAAAAAATGATATCATGTAAAATTTCATATTCTTATTATAATAATATTCTTCACTGAAGTTCCCAATCAAATTCAATAGCTTATTTTATTTGTTTAATTTTACCAGGATTTTTGCCTGGTAAAATTAAACAAATAAAATACTTAGTCATTAGTATAACAAATAATTAATTGATTAAACATGCATTTGTATGATATGGGTGTCGTAGTTTAACATTATTTAACTTTTTACAAAATTTGGCAAATAAATAAAGAGACTGCACATAATTTTCTATTCATTAGGATTATATCGAATGCATAGTTATTTCATGAGTTGATAACTGTCATCCTGGCCTTTGTCATCCTGGACTCTCATCATATTTCTGTTTTATATCTTATAATTTCAAGTGATTTTTCTTAACATGAGGTTAAACAAAATATGATGTTCTCTTTCAAAGTATAATTCTAAAAGTCTGTATTTCGGCAATTACTCTTATTTTCCTTTTACAGATAAGCACTTATTGCATAGCCATTAGACTTTTACTTTTAATATCCGATAAAATTCATAGTTTATTCTTAATGATAGCGTAATTGTTCATTTATTTATCCCTAATGGATGTATGATATTGTCAAATTGCCCTCTTTTCCTTTCTGCTGATATGTTTTCTTTTTTTATGTCCTCCACTTAGTAAACATGCATTTTTCCTTCATATATTGTAAGGTTTTTAATAAAATTATCATTAAGCAAAAATTTTAATTTTAAATTAATTTTCCTGAGGCCAGTAAAATAATTTTAAATAACTTAGACATATGATGCAAACATAGTAAAATACATTCAAAAATTTAAATTGTTGGTAAGAACGAAAGATTATTTAAACTATTAGAAACAGATCAGAAATATTTAATTATTATTGAAACTAAGCAGACCTATTTAATTATAATGCCTTAAATTAAAAACCTTGATCAGGGCATTTTGAGAATTTTCAGACTCAGTCAAAATTGAGTTAAAATAAGCGGATTAAAGACATTTTTTTTAAAATGTAACTAACCGTTTTGTTTGATAGGGAGAATTCAGACATTTCAGCAATCGATTTTACTGTTTTTTCAATGCATTTATCGTCATTAGAACCCTTACCGATTACTGTTTGTTGAAAAAAAAAAAGTGTCTGTTAAAACTGTACAAGTTAGAATACTTGATTTATTTAGAACCGTAAAAATTTTCAATGAATCAAATATTGCATTTAAAGTGAAAATTCAAGTATTGACAAAAGTCAAGATAAAATGAATTTGTTAATTTATTGGCAAATAATAACTTTAGACTCAAGATTTTATTTAATTCTATTTTTCCTCTAGTAAACAGACAGATATAAACTTTATTTTTCCCGTTTTAAATTCCTTCCCTCCATTAGGTCTTATTTAAAGCACAGAGGAAAATCTCATTTTTTATATTGCACATGAGATATGTTATTAAATCACTGCGTGCTACACATGAGAAATTTCTTATAGTTTCCAATAATCCTTCATAGGTACAAAAATTTCTTTGACTTTATAAGTATGTATCATAATAGTCTCTTTATTTTTAGCCATATTTTTTTGCTATGTACTATACAGAATTTTATCTTTTTGCTAATTTTGATTACAAATAGGCATTATATTCGAGAGTACTGAAACAGTTTCTTTAATTACATTATACTAAACCTGTAATATTTAATAATAATAATATTCTATTAAAGTTTAACTTAATTATCAAGTTTAGTTAATGAAGTTAGTTATCTGATTAGCTAATACTGAAAAAATAAATGCAGGACTTATTAATCATTCACTTAAAAAAGAATTAATTTTTCAGATTCAAATTACTAATTTATAAAAATTTATGCTAGAGAAATTAGTCGTATAGTATATAAGAGCAACTATACAGTGCTACGTAATGACTCATTTGAAATTGAAGATTTTTTATGCAGACATATCTAACTGTTTAAGATTCATATTCCAAAAAATTTCTTTGAATTCAAATGATCTAATAAGATATTTTTTTATTTTGGGGATTTGAAAATGCATTCATGATTAGATTCTGCTATTTGGTAATTCTTTTAATCCTTACTTTTAGACAAACATACTTGCCCAAAGTAACAGTATACTTATAAAGTTTTCCCTCAAAAGAAACTTTATCAATATTTTAGTTAAAGTCCTTTGCGTATTAGATTAGTTAAAAATAAAATCCTTTTCTAACAATAATAAAGATATTAAAGGATAAAAATTCTTCATTTTTATTGGTTAGATTATTCTTTAGATTGTTTTGGTTAACCACACTTCATTGTAAATTGCACCTTTGTCCCCTCTTTTATTTTATTTTCTGCCAATATTTATGTTCTCTCTTTCTGTCTCTCTCTTTTTTTTTTAAACCATTGAACAAAAGTCTTCTTTTTATCCATATAATTTTTCTGTTCTTTCCCCCTTTTGTTTTAAAAATATTTCTAATCTTTTATGAAAATTTTCTTTTTCTTCCCTAAGGCAAAGGCATATTTAAATGACGCAGAAAGTTCAATTATGTTCCTAATATTTCAACACCTGAGCATACACGTTGTTATTTTAGCATTTAAAGTACATTAATTTTGTTTTTATTAGTCAAATATTTCATAAAAGCTTTAAAATTAAAAATTATCATTGGAATTCTTATTCAGTATTAAAATATTAATTAAATTGTAGCATTTAATCTTGCCTTTGTCTTTTTCTTCTTTAAATTCTAATTTTTCCATCTGTTATTTTCTTGTGTGGTTATAATCTAAACCTGTTCTCCCTTGTGTTGTTGTCTGTTTTCATCCCTCACCTTGAAAACCGACACACAGGTTTTTGGAAATATCAAGTTTGATCCAGATACAGAAATGAATCGCCACAACAACTTCCATAGCTTCATACAGTCTCTCATGCTCTTATTTAGGTGAGTCAGCTTCGGCTGAAACACCCAACTAACTTTGTTGTCATGAATTGGTAACTATTATATCTTTTGTAGGTAGGAAGTGCAGTTTTAAATTTATGGTAGTTCAGGTTTTATTAGAAAATTAACCCATACTCTGTTGCCTTTTGAAAAACAGCAGTTAGAATAGATAAATTAAAATACAAAATTTAACAAAGGAAAGTAATTCTGCCTGTTTCCAGAAAAGCAAGATATTTTTACATTTAAGTAAAACAAAATATATTGACTAGATGACAACTTTAAAACTTATACATATATAATCTTTAAGAAGAAGGAAAAATAATCTGATGGTGTTGGTGTATTTAATTATGGCAAAGAACACGAGGGCTATCTGCTTAAGAGGAGGGATGCCTTCGTGGAGGGCTTTCTAAGGAAAACTGGCTCGTATACACGTTAAACATGGGAAAACCACAAAAACGCCCATGCAGCCAACCCATTTGCAGAATTCAAACCTCGGACCAAACTACCAGTGTTCAGCGACGTTACCGCTCGGCCGCTGGTGGGCCCGAAAAATAATCTGAATAATCTTGTTATTCAAGATAATCATTATAATATGGTAATTTTTTTACAGTTTATTTCAGAATAATTTATAAAATTCTCTAACACTAATATCAAATTAAACTCATTTTGTTTGATATTTTGACACAAGAAATAATAGAATAAAGAATGAGTAAAGAATACTAAGATGATTAATGATGACTAAAGAATGACTAAAGAATACTAAGATGATTAATGATGACTAAAGAATGACTAAAGAATAGTCATCTCTTATCTCTCAAACTGTTGAAAGTATGTCAGGAGTAATTACAAACATTGTAGAATGATTTCCATTTGTGAATAATGCATAATTATTGTATCTTTTAAAATGCAGTTCAAAATTTTTCCTTTTTTTTTATTGATAATTGACAAACAAAGTGAGATTTTTTCCAATAATCAAGTTAGTATTTTATTCTTGCATCTCTAATAACCTTTCTCTTTAAGAGAAGAATTTATTGTTTCCTGATTCTTTGTGTTTATCCTATTACAATTGTTATTTAAATGCTAAAACGTTTTTGCTTAAAAAACTTTTTTTTTTATTATTCGTTATTTTACAATATAGAGTCAATTTCATCCATTTTAAAATTATCTATATCTATTTTAAAACATTTATTTTCATATAATATGTTTTTTCCTAAAAGAATTAAAAGTTTTATAATAATTGTTGTAAATGGTTTCAGAATTTTTTTATAGATTTTTGCTTGAAAAGTACTGAGTTATTTAATAACACTTATTAAAATATTTCATTGATTTTTTAATCTTCAGAAGTGCAAAGCAAATGTTCATGAAATAAATTATTATTCTAGTAAATTGTCTAAGGGTTTATATAAGTTTTCATTTAGAATGAAATTTTATTGTACAGGAGATTTGGTACATAAAAAACACATCAAGAGTACAGACAAAAGTATCATCTATTCAGTTTTTTTGGGGGGGGTGGAGATCATTTTAACAGAATGCTGTAATATTACAAAATAATTTTATAATGTCATATAACATGTTATTTTATACAGAATGCAAATATAATTTACATTTGCTTTACTAGTTTATAGTTTGACAATAGTATGGCTATTTTATAGGTTTATAGTTGTGTAATTGCTCTAAAGTGAATTTCTTTGGTTGCATAAACATAAATTTCAGAGTAAAAATGGTCGTAATTTTCAAATTATTCTGAGTTTATCACAGGAATAAATCCATCAAGCAGTATTTCTTGCTAACGTAGATACCATTCATGGCAACAAAGGGTTTATCTTAGTGTAGAAATATAGCATTAAAATTTCTTTCTTATCGTAGAGTAGCTATTAGATTGCATTACTGGTAGAAATTTTATTATTCTTGTTATTTGCATTTTTTTTTTAATCTTTCTTTTTAATTCTATATTTTATAACATTTATATGTAGATTTTGGAATGACAGTTATATTTTTAGTGGGTCAGTGCAAAAATCCCTCCCTTTTCCTGACTGAATGGAATATTTCTTTATGATATATTGTATTTTTGTTTTATTGAAAGATATTTAGGGGGATTGAAAAAATACTTTTAACATCTTCTCCCTCTACATACCCAGGTATTTGGTAATATTGCTCTGAGCCCTGAACATCAAATTACTCGCCATAATAACTTCCGTTCATTCTTTCAAGGACTAATGCTACTTTTCAGGCAAGTTGGTGTCTCACAGAACTTTTTCATGTTATAATTGATGTGTGGAAGATCATTGGCAGCTGCACTGCAATTTGCACATTAAAAAATTCTTTAAAAATATAAATTATGACCTGGAGCATGACTGTCTATGGGTTTCCAAAAATGAAATTTAACAACATGAGTAACATGAAAAATAAATTATTTAACATAGTATTTAAGAATTATTTTATGTAAAATATGTTTAGAAATGTTTAATTTCTTGTTTATGTTTTGGAAATCTAAGTATAATAGTTGATAAATTTGTTACTCAAGTTAGCAAACGAACATTGATAATCTAGATTTTATCTTAGCCTTTCAGTAATAATTAGTCTAATAGTCTCTTATTATTCACATTAATATTTAAAGAATAAATTTAAAGAAAATATCCACCATTTTTTAAATTAAAGACAAAGAAGAAAATGGTGCAATAACACATGGTAGATTTTTTGTGTGTGTAATTGTAATAAATGAAATAATTTGGTATACTAATTTCAAATACAGCTGCAATAAAATTTGCATTTTGTGGGGGGTTTGATTTTTCTTCCAAAAATTTATGCAAAAGACTATATCCAAGCTTATTTTTAAGCTTATAAAATTTTAAAATTGATGCATACATAATATATACATTAAGCATTAATTAAAAAAATAAGTTTCAACAGAAAGTTATTAACTGATTATAATTATTTGTATTTTGACACAACTTACATTTTAATCCTAAAAATAAGTATTCCAAATAAGCATCTTCAATAAGATTATTATTTTAAATGTATAGAGTAAAATGATTGCATTTTTATCTAAAATATTCATTTGGAATAAGTAGTGATATTTTATATAATTTTATTCTAAGTTTTTTTTAATCGAAAGTGATTTTTTTCATACTTCAGTATTTTCTTCCTGTATCTCATCAATGAATACCCCACATGAAGATATTTTAGTGGTATGATTAAAAGCTTAAAGTCTTATATTTGTCTTCTATATATTTTATTGTCAGTAATTACTCTTATATAGCATTCTTAATTATCCTATTACTGAATATCAACACTATTTTCTACATATGCTCTATAAATATTCTTTCTATGTTTAGTTCATTTGAAAATGTTATTGAATGATAAAATTATATCTACTTCCTTCATTAAAGTAATAATTTAATAACTGCAAATTTTCTAACAAGATATATAATCCAGTAATAAAGCATATTTATTGTCTTTTTCTTATCAAAACATGTAGTTCTTTTTAATTTATCTTAAATGTTTTGTTATGAATTTCAATATTTGAAAAATCTAGAATTTTCATTTTATTTTCATAAAATTATTGCATTTTTAAACATGTTAAAAACTATTCTAAGAGTTTCTGTCAAAAGTAGATTTTATAATCATAAATTACATAATCAATAGTTCTAAGCTTCTAACTTTTATTTTATTATTTTATTTATAAACGAAAGAAGAAAATAATATATTAAGTGCTGTAGAATTTAAGATTTACTGTTCAATTTCGTGTGTTAATTAATGCATTTAATCATTTTCATTTTCTTAAAATTGTTTGTGATATTTATCGCTAAATCTTCCTTTATATATCAAAATAAAAGTTATATTAGGAGAACACTGTTTTGAATAAATGGGATGATAAATAGTTCCATTTAGTTTACTAATTTTAATAATTAAACCTTAAAATATGCTTAATAGTGACTAATTTAAAATGAGTTACACATACACCAACTCAGTAGATTCCTCACTGTCAAGCTGCTTAAGACTGACCTTAAAATTAACATTATTGTTTATTAGTTTATGTTAATGGAATTCCAGATTAAAGATCTAAAGTTCAAAAACTTATCAAGGTTTGTTATTTAAGCATAGACAAGAATTCATGATTTTTCTGCTTATTTATGAAACATTCACCCAGTTATATATAAGAAATTCTTCAAATTATGTTTTTTACATTAAGAAGTTCAAAAAATTTTTGAAAGCTGAAAAATTCTAATTATAAGATAATCAGATTCTCTGAAATTTTTCTATTATACTTTTTAGGCTAAATATATAGCCCTAACTTTGCAGCTTGCTAAAAAATTTTAATTTTTAAAGCCATAACTATCCATTAGATATTTTATCCATTAGATATTAGATATTTTTCATGTATAGATATGACATTTAATATTTTTGTATTATGATGTTTTTTGTTTAGTATTCATAGTTTTTTTATATCAATTTTTCATACATTCAGAGTGCTTTAATTTGTTGTATTTGTTTTTGTGGTAATACTCTCTTTTCAAATTAGTGAAAATTAATTATTAAATATTTGCAGTTATGCTCCAGGTCTTAAGATATCACTATGCAAATTGCACTCTTAACAAAAAATGTAAAAAGCATGCAAGCTTCAATATCACATGTAAAATATGATGAATTATGATAAAACAATAAACAGTATATTAAAATGCATGTATGCTTCATGTGTTAACCCATTTTTTGGGTAATGTTTTCAATACATTTAAGTGCTTCTTCTAAATGTTGTGTGCATGCACCTGGCATCCATGGTTCTAGCTGTGAAATGTCATGTGGATTCGTGGTACTGACATGGGTCAGGCTGCCTTTTCCTAAAATAATTTATTTTGCAGAACTATCTTAAGTAGGAATTATTTAATTTTTCCATTAATATCAAAATTAAGTTCCAACTTTATATTTATATTGAGGGATGATTAGAATATAAAGTTGGCAAATGTGTTAATGAAAATTTTAAATTCATATTTGTATAATCGTATATTGCAGGCTTCCTTTGCTAACAACAGTGTTACAAAAAAAAAGAGGCTTTATTTCTTATTCTTAGTTTGGTGTAAGATATCTAGCATTGTAAGAATGCTGCATTTTCTATTTTCAGGGGCATGAGACTACACTTAAATTCAGAAATGTTTTTGATTCTTTCTAAGAACATGTATTATAAGAAATGCAGATTTTTAAAAGAAAATGTATGCACATTTTTTAATTCAAATGTGTTGAAAATATTGAAATTCTGTTGAATACTTCAAATATATGTAATTGTTCTCATCTTCCCCTTTTTGCTCATGTACTAGTTTTGTGTTCTGAAAGCAGAAAATGCGAATACCATATTTACTACCATATTTATTTCTATATTCCTTCCCATCATGTATTCCCCGCCCTAGTTTTTTTGGCATGTGATTTTGAAACATCTGAGTTATGGTAACTATATAAAATATATGCACAAATAGGAAATTACTTTGTGTAAGTAAAAGGAATATTACTGAAATTTATAAGTTCTTTAAAATATAGAATTTAATGTTAGTGTGTTTTATGTATCTTTCTTTATGTGTTATGGTTATCATTTAAGCCATCTCTTCAGAAATAGCATACACTGAGTATTTTTCTTTTCCCTGTTCTCAAGTTTTAAAATTAGTAGAAAAAGAGGGGGAATACTCAAGTAAATATGGTGTGAATGCAGAACACCAAATAAATACCTTTTTAATGTTTGTTCTGTTATTCAATACAGCTAAATCCGAAATTTTGAAACTAGTTGAAAATCGCTTCAGCTTGCTACCTCTTGTTGTATTAATCTGAAATATTGTTTTAAATTATTAATCAGCTATAAGATGATAGTTACATTTTTACAAATATATATTGACCAAATCTGAAAAATATTTCAAAGTCTGTGCTTATTATTTCGTATTCCCCAAATTTATGGTGAAGTTCATTTGAATACGTAATATGTTATTCAGTGATGTTATATTTTTTATGGGTTTTTACCTATCTATTCATTTTTCTGAAGATAAATGTTTATTTTCATCAAGTTATATCAATTTCAACATATCCAAATTTATTTTGCACTAATTTTCTGCCTGAGATTATAATAAAGTTAACAGTTAAAAAGACTAAAAATATGTTGCAATTTTATGCTTGTTTCCTGTATTTTTACTATTTAACTACACATGCAAATCAAGAAATTTTATTTATAAATTTGAATTTAACAACTATTCTCCATTCGCATAAAGCAAACAGAAAATTTAATTAAGAAATTTAAATTGTAAAGAAATAAAAATAAAAAAATTATTATTGCTTTACTCCTATATTGTATATCTGCATCAATATAAGGTTTCGTTTGTTAAACCTACAATTTAAAAAAGAAAAAGTGTTCCCCCCCATGAGTGAAAAGGTCCCCCTTCCATTTTGTTATGATTATTTCATTTTTTTACTTGACTTCTTCATATAATTATTCGATTATTCTTGCATAAGATTAAAAAGATATATGCCTACATTTTTCTTTTTATCCTTTTAATATTTACCTGATCACTGATGACAATTATTTTTATTGAAGATCATCTAACGTTTTTGTTTCTAGTGCATTGTTTCATTCTCTCATGTGTGAAGGCAAAACATGTTTTTTTTTTTTTTTTTTTTTTTTTTTTTTTTTTTTTTTTCAGAAGGAAGGAACCATGATAAGCATGAAACATAATGTTTTAAAGTGGATCGCATTTTTAATTTCATATATTAAAAAGTTTAATTTTATTTAAGAACTATATTATTTATAAAATAGAGCTAATAACTTTTTAATATACTCCTATTTATTCATCATGTTATTAAATAATACAAATTCTTTAAGTGTTTTGTACTTTTCAAATAATTGTTATTATTGTTTAGCAGTAATGTGTTATTGAATAATAGTTTTATAAAACCTGCATTCCATAGAATTTTTACTTTTATTTGCTAGACTGCTGATTGCTTGAATGAATGAAACTAAATGCTCATAAAATGTTCACAAAAGTCACAAGCAAAATAACAAAAGATAAATAAATAAATAAAACAGTAAATAATAAATATTAAAAAATCAATAAAATACAATTAGATCAAATAAAAATATTAATGAGTTAAAGTAAATTAATGTTAAATAGGAAATGATAATAAATTAAAGTATAGAAATTAAATGAAATATTAAAACAAATTAAAGTTAACTAAATGAGTAATTACAAGATGTGGTACAAAGGATAAAAGACAGGGGCAAGTACTATTTTGATCAGTATTCTTAATGGTTAGACAAAAATGAATCTTTATTTTGGCCTAGGCTTCTCGATCAAAGTGTGCAACTCAAACCTTCTAGATTAGATAGGTATAGCCTAAAAAATTCATCCTGAAGGGATACATTTCAAAACAATTTTCCTTCCCGAGCTGGGCAAATTTTCCTATTTATTTTACTCTTCGCACAGAAATGAGGCTTGCATCAGTTTTACCAACTACGAAATAAAATGCTGCATTGATACCAGAATTTACTAATATTAAAATTCAGTTATCCAGAAAACAGCAAAGCTTGGGAAGCTTGAGATTCTGGCTGAAGGACTTTCTTTACTTTGTTTTTCTTAGATATGTTAGAATGCATTTGATAAATGACACATATAATTAATTTTAAAGAACTTCATTGTGTTTGTGTACTTTATTTAAAATAAATGTAGCATTTATATGTGCTTAAATTTTTAAAGAGTTTTTGATGGAAAAATAATAATTATTATTTTTAAATCGTGTTTCAGCTGTTTATAATAATAAACGTACATTTGAAAAATTTTATATTCTGTATACAGGTTAAGACAAAACTTTCTAATTTGTTGCTGAAGCACTCTTGTTAGAATATTTTCTAATAAAATTTGATTATTGAGAACTATAAAAATTTGATAAAATTATATTATACAAATTTAGTGACAATAACATTATTATGTGTAATAATTTGAAATTTAAGCAGAGTTATAAAATATCAGTGTTGAATTAATTTGAATTTCCACCCTAAATCAGTTAAAGGTTGATATGAAATGCCAATGGTATTAAAAGTTTCAGAGGTGTAGCTAGGGTTTTCAGCACCCCGGGGACAACCGAAGATTTTGTGCCTCTCTCTGTGTGCCACGAATGGAAAACATGTCATTCTAGAATTTCGTACCATCAACTTGGCGCCCCCTGGATGCTGCGCCCTGGGATAGATGTCTCCCTTTGCCCCACCCTAGCTACGCCACTGAAAAGTTTAGAGTCAGTTGTACAGTAGAGTCCTGCAAACTCGACTCCCGATATCTCGACATTCCGTATAACTCAACAACTTTTTAGGAACTTTTTTAAGATATCTCTAGGCCAAATAGAGCAAATATTACACACAGTACATATAATTGTTATTTATGCGTATGTCTTTCCTATTCTGTTCAAAGATTTGAATGCTTTTTCCTATAATTTTTGCTGTTTTCGCATTGTGCCATTAATTTCTGGAACTCCGTAACAAATTTCAAGATATGTTGTAATACTTGGCAACGCTGTCTGCTTCTTTCGAGGATACGTAGAAAGTCAGATAGCAGCTGGCTGCTGGCTCACACTTCTTTCTATTGTTGAGAAACATTAGGAGACTTGTCTGAAGTTTTGTGACTGCATCTTATTGCAAATTAAATTCACACCAGTTAACTGCGGATATCGTTCCTCAGTTCACGTGTAGGCGTATAAGTGTAACATATTTTGGGGGAACTTTTGATATTCTGTGCAGTGAAAATGTTCGAAAAGAAAAAAAAAGCAAAGTAGCCTGACAATGAAAATGAAACTAGATGCCTTAATGAGACTGGACAAAGGGTTAAACAAAATTACCATGGATTTAGGTCTTGGACGGACTACTTTCATAGAGTGGAAAAAGAAGAGGTCTGAAATCGAATCTTGGGGTGTGAAAAAGCATGGGATGTGAAAAGGGTTAGTTTAAAGGAAAGAAAAGGTGTGAAAGGTGGTGAATTCGAAAAAAATGAGCGAAGCGCTTTATTTGTGCTTTAGACGGCAAAGGGAACACCCATTTTTAGGACCAATTTTACAAAAGAAAGCCCTAAAATTTTGTGATAAATTTCAAGAAGGAGAGCCTGGATTTACTGCTAGTGCTGGCTGTTTCGACAGATGGAAAAAGCGATACGGCTTCAGCCAGTTAAATGTTTGTGGGGGAAAGCTATCTGCTAACTTGGAATATGCTGCAATATTCAAGGATAATCTCCACAAACTAATTGAAAAGGAAGGTATATCTGGAAATCAAATTTATAATTGTTACGAGACCAGTCTGAATTTCGAATGCTACCTTTGAAAACGCTGGTATCCAGTGAAGAAAAATCAGCACCTAGCTACAAAAGAAGCAAGGACAGAGTCACAATCTTGGCATGCAGCAATGCAACAGGCAGCCATAAGCTCAAGCAAGCACTTATAGGCAAATCAAAGAATTCCCAGGCGCTTAAAAACCTAGAAAAGTACACTAATGGAACCGAAACCAACTATGATCTTCCTGTTTGATACCGGAAGCAGTCAAACGCATGAATGAATGAAGCAATATTTAATGATTGGTTTCATCAGCAGTTCGATCCATCAGTGGAAAAGATTTTAAATTAAGAAAATCTACCAAGGAAGGCGATTCTCATTCTAGACAAGGCCTTAATCCATCCTGATGCATAACAATTACGAAACGATAATATTATAGCCATGTTTCTTCCTCCTAACGTAACTTCAGTGTGTCAGCCATGGCCTTATAAGAGACTAACCCAGTGGACGGGGCGCGCGTCACCGACATGTCGGCAGGAAAGAGTAGGGACGATCTGGTTTAATTTAACACTGAAAACGTTTGTATCACATAACTCTTTTTAATTATTAAATGTGATACATTGTATATTGATGAGATTATGAAAGCCACAGTTTTTACAAATAGGGTTTAATGTATCTCATTAAAGCACTTTTTACTGCATTTCGCGCATTTTTTCCCACGCGTAATTCTTGTACAAATGTCTTTACTTTGGTAAAACGGTAAAAACTCTGGGCACAAAATTTATGAACTTAATTTTGCGTACAAATAACGTAAAATTAAATAAGATTGATAGTACGTGATGCTTTGAAATAAATAAGGTAAAATTAAACACGATCTGATAACGTTTTTTAAAAAAATTTAATGACCATTTTCAGGCAGTGATTTTCAAAAGTATAATAACATTACAAAACAATCATTTATTTGATTATATCATCATTAACTTATTAACATTAAAGTGGAATATTTATTTTAGTAATTTATAAAATTCGGAGCATAAAATTTTCTAAGTGTAACATAGGGGAAAAAAAAAAAAAAAAAAAAAAATCTAGAAGCACTCAGATTTTATATTACGCCCAAAAGGAACCTTTTTTTAATGTTTTGTGTGTTACTTATATTTATTGAATATCCTGTTCTTCGCCCGTAAACCACATACATTTAAAAAAGCATATCTTTAGAATTTCCGCATTGGAGATAAAACTGTTATTTTCCGTACAGTGCTCTCTCTGAACTCGTTGAGTTTTTTAATCAAAAATTCGTTAAAGTTTTACAAAATATGATATAGATTAAAACAAATTCGAAATTATTCAGCTGTCCAGATGCCGATGTTTGGGTGGAGGATTATATTATTCAAAATTTGATGGCTCTAGATACTGTCGTTTTTGTCACAGTGCGAGAAACATACATGTATTCATGCAGATTCTTCATTATTTAATTTCTGAAAATATAATACAGGGCGATAATATTTGGTAACAATAATTTGTAAGGAGACAC